TAGTAACGAGTGAATGAGACCACTGAGCCAAACAGAATACATGTATAAACAGTACTATAATAAATTGCACGCAATGGAGAAATCACGTGCCGTAATAACAGCAGCCTTACTCACAGATCTAATCTACTGTAAAATATTTTATTTCAGCTGGAATTATCATTCGCTGAAAAGACTTTTTCTGGGTGTTTTGTATTGAATTTATTTTCATTGATTTTTGACAAGTTGACTGTAAAATATAAGAAAAGGGTATATTCGCTGGATTTTATTTTAACTGAAACATTCCTTCAGCGAAAATAGCAAAAAAATGTTGCAAGCAAAAATAAAGTATTTTACAGTAATTAATTTATTCTGAGCATGCGCAGACGTTTTGTCAATGTTGCCGGGAGAGGCAATTTTTGATAAAATCGTGAAAAAGACCCACTTGGGATTTTCAGATCTGGAAAAAAAATTACGTGCATACTCGGAGGGGACATGTTCATCAACCTGCCAAGTTTCACTGATATCTGCTGTAGAATTTCTGAGAAAATGTTGGAGACGGAATTATGGACATAACCTGAATTAGTAGTCCCCTTTTCAGGCTGCGCCTGAACGGGGACTAACTAACAGGGGTTTCACAAATGCATTTAATAGCAGGCAATCATCCTGTAACAACAGGTCAAAAATAAAATAAAAAGCGTACGCGGTTGGGGGCAGAGAGTAGACAGTCAATTTGGGCTTGTAGCAGGCTATATGGCTGGCTGGTCCCTGTATATAAAGACTATATATAAAGACTACCAGCCTATAGTGACCACTTCTAGACAGTCCCAGAGTTGAGTCAAAGCTGCCCTCTGATTGGTGTAAAGTGTTAGAATTGGGTAGCCAATCAGACACAAGTACCCATGCATTGATTCCAATCTCAAGGTATATCGTATGATCAACCTATGTATAAAGATACTTGTCTTTACATGTGACAACCTTTCAGCAATATTTTCATTTCACATTTGTTTAGAGATAAGAATGATAATTATCGTTCCATTAATAAAGCAATTTTAAATTTTTTCAATTCATACTTGATTGAATGTTATCAACTCAACTAAATGTGCTATTGTTGCAATAGTATCATCTCTTTATTATTTAGAAAAATATACAAGTATATACAAATATACGAGTTGCAAACCCTAAAAAGATAATCTAACCTTCATATAAGGACCACCTGTCTATAAAGACCGTTCTCATTTTAACTGAGTTTTGGTGGTTACTTTGTGATGTATGAAATTGAGATACAGACATAGACTTTTCTTTGACAAAGTAGTGATGGCAGTTTTAAAAGGGATGTAGAAAACAACATAGTTTGAATGATGTGTACAATTTACAAGGTTTTTCTCAACATGTGTCTCATATGTTTGCATTGCTTACCTTGTACTTTCTATTCCTGTCATGATGATCCCCTGCTAGTATACATATGGATTGTAATGTCTTACCCAAGCCCATATCATCGCATAGTATACCATGGAGTTTATATTTATTAAGAAACACCAGCCAGTTCACACCATCCTGAAGAGAAATAATAAAAGACCATTTGGTTTCTAGTGTGATTGTGTGATCTCGTGTGATTCTCTGTTTGTTTGTTTGTTTGTGGAATGAAACAAAAGAAAGCCTGGAGTTTCAACAGACCTGTTGGTACTTCCTAAGTTCAGCCTTGATTGGAACTGGAATTTTAAAACTGTCTAATTTTCGAGGATCTAATAGTTGTTCTAGAAATCTTCTTTCCCTGATTTTCTGTTTTATCAATGTCTCTGTCATGGATGGAGGGTTTGGAATACCAGCCTGAAATGAAAGACTCGTTAACTGCTTCTGTGTACATAAATTGTTTATCCTGCAGATTGCATCTGTTGTCATTTCACATTATTAATTATTTACTGATTTTTAATTCTGCTATTTTCGCAAAATAAAAGTAAAATCAGGTAAATTAAATCCATGTGAACATGTGAAATAACAATAGAACTCATTGTTTCCCTGAAAAGTTTGTAAACATAAGAATCTAGTAATATTGTTCAAAACATTGAAATAATGAAATTAAATGCCAGTAAAAAAAAATGGTTTTACAGTATGGTGACTTACCTCTAATGGCATGAGCCTAATTAACGTAGCGAAGCAGTACGTTGCCAATAAACGTACACTTTCCACTGTATCACTCATTCTACCTAGTACTGGTACAACTAATAATACTATATATGGTATAATGTGTAAACCAAGGCTCTCTATAATATCTGTACACCAGTGTAATGAAAGAAAACAACACCATTCACAGATTCTGAGAAGACTAGTTTTATAATCATTGCCGATTTAAAAAAAATACACCTCATGTGAAAGTGATATGAGCCAAAGCACTACTGGCATTCATTCACCATTCCATGGAGTTCCGTGTGAGTCATTCAAACAATATACTGATCAATAGCATAACAGCAGCGTATCTCAATACACCAACAAGCAACACGGTGTTCTTACTAGTCGCTAATGAATATTCAGTCAGAAAATGTACTTTATTTAATATGCGTGTCTTTGAATAAATATACCGTAAACAAATTTGTATTGAACAGAAAACTGTGAATAGCTATGCACATTGTTGACGAGCAACAATATTTCAACATTCAATTATAATGATGAAGGGGAACTGCAAGACTGGCTAATGAGGTTTTCATAGTGATGCCAAATTCTGTTCTAATCTTTGTGATTTTGGATGTGTTTTGGCGAGTATTTGAAAAGTGTGTTGTTTTCTGACCAAAGTCACCTTCAGGCCTCTACAAAATAGTTCTATTTATAGTCTGTTATTTTCCTCAGAAAATTGTTGATGACAATTTCATTTTTTTGATCAAAAACTAAATTAATGTCACATTTGTCACATTTCGTCCAAAATTAAAATTTAATTCAGTGAATATTACAGGAAATGTAAACAAATTTACCCCACTTTGAGTAAGAAAAAAAATTGCCACTCAAATGGTTAAAGACAACAATTGTATACAAAAATAAATCATCAGAAAAAATTTTATACATTTAAAACAAAATGTTATCAACTGAAATTCAGAAAGCTGACTAAATTTTCAATCAAAATTCGTAAGCTGTATCAAAGTGTCAGTTATATGCAAATTAAAAATCTCAATGTCATTTTATCTTACATCTTACCTCTACTGACTTTGAATAAATTAATTCAAGGCATGTCTGTGTAATGATGCTCAACAAATCCCTGCTTCAGACTATGTCCAATGAAGACTAACGTTATATAAAATATTAGTATTATGGGATATTATTCAGTTTAACCAAAGGATACTTGTGAGTGCTTCTATAGCACCTTGTCTCTTGACTTCATTCTCTGAAGCTCCTAGAAGTGGCAAGACATTTTCAGTGATGTAATTCATAGTGTCGTCCATGGCAACTTTACACAGGACACCAATACATCTAGATGCCATGTATCGTACAGCTGTATAAGGATACTCCAGACATTTGCATAAATGAGGCAGTGTTTCTAAAAGCTAAAGAAAAAAAAAATGTGGGGCATTTGTGTGTAGACAGGGGGTGATGCCGACAACGATAATGACAGACATTTACATAAATGAGGCAGTGTTTCTATCAGTGCTGTCATTCCTAAAAATGGCAGCACAGAGGAAACTTACAATTGTAGTTCACATATGTATAAGAAACTAGAAGAGCACAAACCTTCACTACAGATGCTAATTACTTATCTAAACTAATAGCTAATTGCTGTCTCCATGGCAACCAGATCCAGATCTCTCCCAACATCAATTGTTGATAATTTCAGTGTTAGAATTTTGATTTTTTTTAACCAGTGGTTCAGGTTGACTACCATCTTACAATTGTAGAGATCAAGAGTAAAACATTGGTGGTCCAAAAGCTGAATCACTGTCTGAGCCATCATCATAAACCTGTGGTCCATTTGGGTCAACAGTAACTTTTTCATTTTTTATTGCTTTGTATTTTTTTTGATAGGAATCCATGATAGTTGCCGGTTTGTCAGTGCTTATGGTATTGTTTGGAAACAAAATTTGAACAATGTACTCGTCATACTTGTGATTTAATGTGATACATGCATATGCTATATACACAGGCAATGCAGAAGTGAAGAGTCATCTAATGCAGAAGTACAACCTGAAACACTGACAAAATTCAAGTTGGCATAAAACGAGTGGTCAACCGATGCATGATGATCACTAATTTTGAACCCTGAACAATTGGTCCATTACAATTTAAGTTAACAAAAAAAAATCACTCCCAAAATTGCTGTTTCCATGGATACAAATCTGATAACCTCAAAAAGACTGGTACGTGTATGAATATTTCATGAAAGTCCAGGCATAACTTTTTGCGTTCTAAATGAAAAATCAAGAGTTTGTAGTTTTTTATGGCAACCATAAGCACAGCTCTACCGAAACCGAAACGATTGGTCCTTCCAGTTGGTTCTAGTTATAAATGTAAAATCATTCCCACTATTGCTACTCACCACATAGGAACACATCACATTCATCAATAAATATTGTTTACAACTTGCAAGTAATACAAATTTTATAACTTGTGAAAAAAAAAATCACAAAATATTTCAGCAGTCAATATTTTAATGGGGTCCTTAACACACAGTGTCATAATGACTTTTGAAAAATTTTGTCCTCACAAAAACGGTTTACAGGAAACAGCAATTCACTGCAAAAGTAACTATTTCCAATTCTCACCTTTTCTTGTAAATTATTATGTACAACTGAAGCCAATACTTCATATACTTGTAAACTGTTAACTAAATCTTGAGCTGTTTGGTCATTATCTTGAAAAGCCTGCGGATCTAAGAGTGGAATTACAAGAGAAAATAATTAAAACACATGTGTGTTGTCTTTATGTCTAGGCCAACCAGTCCCAAAAATATCCAATCTGTTAGAAAAAATTGTTTAGATTCAACAAAATATACATATTGTTATGCATTTATTGAACCAATATGCAATAGGTGTGCACCAGTTTGTGGTACAGGGGTGAATTAATATGCAGTGAAGGGATGAACCAATTTGCAGTAGAGGGGTAAATTAATATGCAGTAAAGGGATGAACCAATTTGCAGTAGAGGGGTAAATTAGTATGCAGTAAAGAAATGAACCAATTTTTATTGAAGGAATGAATGAATGAATTTGTATTGAAGGGATGAACCAATATGTATAGGGGTGAACTAGTTTGTAGTAAATGAGTGCACTAATTTGTATTGAAGGGATGAACCAATTTGTATTGAAGGGATGAACCAATCTGAATTGAAAGAATGAAATCTGATGTTGAAAACGAGAATGTTCAACTTACCAAACTTATCAGGGTGAATATGGGTAAAAAGAGATGCTGTCATGGCCTCCCACAGTTTGCTGAGTTTGGTGATGAGATCTTCACCAAAATATTTGACTAATGTTGTTAAAGCGTACCCAGCTCCTCTTCGCTGTAATTTGGCTTGGAGATTGGTGACATCATCATCTTCTGTAATCTCATCCAATTTGATGTCATTCATGTTAAATTTAGTTTTGCTTGAGTGTGGTCCTCTTTTTGGAATGGTACTCAAAATAGCTGCCTACAAGGAAGATTCAAACAAAGATCATAGCTGAATTAAAATTTACATTAAAAATGAATTGGTTTGTAATTACCAACAGTAGTTTCATACTTCATACTCCAATGCAAATTTTGGACATTGAAAAATTTCCACAATTCTCTGATTTGATAATAATATAATCAAAAACAATATCAAATTTTGTCCTTGTGGTTAAAAACTATCAAAGAAAGAAGTCAGAAAAAAAAATATTGTGGGAAATAAAAAACATCTTCCATATCTCGACAGTATGGTTGTGCACGTTTTGGCTGATTTGCAAAGTCAAAAATACAACAGAAAAAAACTATACCTGCTGTTGTTTGACCAGTGTCAAAATTCCCCGTGCCTTATCACACTGGCCACTCCAATTACTGGGTGTACTGGGCCTACTTCCATTGCTAGAACTAGAATTCCCAGTATCCGGTTGCGTAATCACTGGTATAGGGTCCATGACATTGGGTGTGTGGGTAGAATCTCCACAGAGGCAGGTACAAAGATTCTTGACAATCTTGTGGTTTGGACACGGTGTTCTTTCCACACACAGCTGGAGAAGTCTGGCTAAGCTTCTAGCAGCATGCATCTGAAAGTAGTCGCAAGGTTAAAACTAATTTAAGACTCTAAAGAACAATCAGTAATTAAAAAATAACAGTAAATGAAAATAAAATCTACATCAGTAAGTCATAAATCATTCTAATTTAATAAATATGCATAACATTTTGATATAAAGGTCACTGTGACTCCCTAGAATCCCAATAAAAGTTTCCTTGTTCGAACTTTATGAAAAGTCACTGTGACTTCCTAGAACCCCAACAAAAGTCTCCATGTTAGGACCTTTTGAAAAGTCACTGTGACTCCCTAGAACCCCAACAAAATACTACCTGTTCTGAACTTATGAAAAGTCACTGTGACTCCCTTTGATCCCAGCAAAAGTTTCCTCGTTAGGACCTCATCAAAAGTCACTATGACTCCCTAGAACCCCAACAAAAGTCTCCCATTTAGGACCTTTTGAAAAGTCACTGTGACTCCCTAGAACCCCAAAGAAATACTACCTGTTCTGAACTTATGAAAAGTCACTGTGACTCCCTATGATCCCAGCAAAAGTTTCCTCGTTAGGACCTCATCAAAAGTCACTATGACTCCCTAGAACCCCAACAAAAGTCTCCATGTTAGGACCTTTTGAAAAGTCACTGTGACTCCCTAGAACCCCAACAAAATACTACCTGTTCTGAACTTATGAAAAGTCACTGTGACTCCCTATGATCCCAGCAAAAGTTTCCTCGTTAGGACCTCATCAAAAGTCACTATGACTCCCTAGAACCCCAACAAAAGTCTCCCATTTAGGACCTCATCAAAAGTCACTATGACTCCCTAGAACCCCAACAAAAGTCTCCCATTTAGGACCTTATAAAAAGTCACTGTGAGTCCCTATGATCCCAGCAAATTGAATGTGACATCCTTGCCTAAAGAATCTCAAGGAAATCTTTGCTGCAATGTTATTTTGTGATTTCTCTGACTCACAAATATTTGTCTTTCACAAAATTGGTACTTTAATCCATCTTACCTGCAGTAGATTGTTGGATTCTTTTTTCATAGATTCCATTAATGGTTTTATAATAGGGTTAAGTTTATCTGGTAAGTTATTTAAGGCTACCATCGCTCCTGCTAACGATGATTGTACTCTGTAATAAGAAGAAGTATCAACAACAGTTATGATCTTTTCAGAGCATTATATAACAACTATTTCATTTTTAAATTGAAATCAACTCTTGAATTGCCAAGATCATGGAATTTGGGGATTATTAAATTTGATGACTGGAAAAAAAGTTTCCAAATTTTTATGATAAAACTAGTCAAGCAGCCTGTCGGCTGATATAGCTCCATTGTTAGCAATGCACATTTCAATTAAAGAACTGAAGATATCATTAGAAAATGAACAATATGTATAGTATTAAAGCAATCAGACTTGCTATTTTAAACAAGAATTCAAAAATATCACTTTTTACCAAAAATATTCATCAAAATCATCACAAAATGAACAAATCTAAAAGCACTCCACATGTAGTACCTATATGTATAATATCAATGCACTCAGACTTACAGTTTTCAACAAGAAGTCGAAAATATCACTTTTTACCAAAAAAATTCATCAAAATTATAGAATTGAAGATATCATCACAAAATGAACAAATCTAAGAGAGGTCCACATGTAGTACAGATAAGTTGAAAGTGGAACTAAAAAAAAAATGTGTTTTATTTCATTTGTTTTGCACCAATAAAAATTGATAAAAAAAAAAAAATGTAGTTTATACTCCTGCTTGCCAACCAATCTGACCAAATTATTGGACCAAATTGTGGGAAATGGTAATAGTTATCATGCTAGACAAATTGAAGTGGCTCATAGGTCATAACAACAGTGTATAGAGAAGGGCACACTATAGATTGCCTAGGTGAAATTGATAATAGATGGGTTGACATTTCTTATGTTCTTATGAAACCAACTCAACATACCTAATATTAAGTTTCCGCTGTTCTGTATTTATTCCAGAGATGGTTGATTGTATTTGCTGACATTTCTCGTTGATTGGATGCTGAGATTTGATCAGTGGATGTACTTGTTGCAACTGACTAAGGATACCTTGGCATGTAGCATTGGCTTGCTCCACAGTAAACATACTATGAACAAATGACAATACAGCATTAGTTACTTGCTGTGTGCTTTAGAATTTTCAATACTAAAAAATTTCACAGTATATGTACACAGAGTATTAAATAAAACCAGTCTACCTAGTACTGTAAAATCTCTATTTGAAGCTACGGCTTCTATTAAAATGTTAAAATGCAACAGAGATGTCGCTTCTATTAGAACATCTACACATGTGAAAAATAATATAAAGAACCCCATACAACTAATCAACTTTAATTGTAACTTAAATTAATTGTTCATGAATTCAAATTCTATAAATGCATGAAACCAATCTCATGCAAATAAATGTGACCTTCAGTGTATTCATGCTAATTTGAAAATGGAATTTAACAGGTATACATGTACATGTACAGCGCCACCTAGAGTTGAATGTTATTTTGTTCTCACATACTTTGGGAATGTATTTCTTTGTACATTTTTGGTCATATCACACCAGGCATTGACCAAAACCTGAAAAGACAACAAAAGACAATATATTAGTAAATTTAGAAGACCTGTATTGATTTCAGAAATTAAATTTAACAGAATTTTTTTAATTTTATTCTCCCTGTCATCTTACCTGACATTCAGTCTGTAACCGCATAAAAGGTGCAGACACTTCATCGAAATAAACATTACTTGTCAAATCCTCCAATAATTTGGTCTTGACTATATCTGCACATACACAACTCTGGAAACAAATAAATTGTCATCAGCTACAATGTACAAAGTATGGCAGGGATTGTGATTGTGGTAGACAGATGAAGAAATGATGCAAGAGACAAGGCTGCTGGCATGAGAAAGATGGTCTCACCCTGCATCTCCCATGATGTACATTCAACTCTAGGTGGCGCTATACATGATACAGACAACATGGTCATCAGTAAAGGATATTGTGCCAATTTTATCAATTCAATTACTTGAGCAAGGATGAAATATCACACCGAGACTCACTTAATGTTTACTGCAACAAAACTTGGTCATTTTCAACACTTATAAAATATGCAAAAATTCATCTCATGCAAAATTAGATCAAATGATAAAGATTACAGATTCTTACCCACATATTTAAACATTCTTGAAATTATTAACATATTTGTTCTATTACAAGTGCATCTTGAACATAAGGCCAGACTTTTATTATCTCTTGTTTCGCAAACTCTTCGAATGAACAGGAGCCGAAAATGAAATAACAATTTTTTTTTATTTCAGCGTAATTTCTCGCACCCGCCGACTTGTAAGTGCAAAAAATTGCTAAAAAAAACTTATTTTTATCTTCATTTTATTTACGCCCGCCGCAAAACAAACCCAAGTTGCATTTTCGTGGGAGTATCATGATCAAAGTGCAGAAGTCTCGCGCAGATGAGAAAAAGGTTAAAATTTTATTTCATTTCTTCTCTCCGATCAATGATCTCACTTACAATTATTTGAGAATCACACAAATCTAATGGAAAAAAAGAATTAATTTTTTTTATTTCGCCCTCCTTATAAAAACTCGAGAAACAAGGAATAAAAAAAGTCTGGCCTAAGTGCACAGAAACCAAAAACTGCATTCATCATATACTGGATCATTAAAATACAACTTATTTTGACCAAGGACACAACTCTGATGTTTATGTACATTGTAAGCATGCATAACTAATGGAACAAATGAGGTACATTGATGTCTTGTCTCATATATCTTGTATTTCAAGATGGCTGCTGTGGTAAAATCCTGAAACCTTTGTTCCTATGGAAACATACCAGTACACCATCCTGTCTTAAGCATATGATACTGCTTAGAAAAATGTTTTTTTTTTTAATTTTTTTATTCTAGCTCTTCAGTAGGATAACAGTATACTATTGAGAAGTGATTGGTATTACAATATAACCATTTCGCTCACTGACAGAAATGAGCATGATATAATAACTTTAGGTTGTAGAACTAAATTTCACAAAAGACACTTCGACTCACTGCTTGAAGTGTTAAAATTCAAGAAAATTTAACTTGCATGAATAAAAGAAGTTTAAATTAGTTATGATCAAGTCAGTGAGAAGAGATTCGTGCCACATAAAGTATGGTAGCCATTTTACAATTACCTGTGTAATACTAGCCCAGTCAGTAACAATCAATCCAATGGCCAGACGCTGTAATGCAGATTTGTTGTCAAGATGGAAAGCAAGTAATTGGCCGACTGATTCTGAAGCGTTACTCTCAGCTGGTAGACTACTATCTGTCATGTACACGATCAACTGACCGATTAATCTGTGGAGAAAAGGTCAAATTCAAAAATTATAAATGATGAACCAGAAGCTAAAATCCTTGTACATATGTATATAGTAAGCTATTAAATTTTAGCACATTCATTTAGCTGTATTGTACTATTATGTGAAATATTTGATGATCTGAATATGCATTCTGAGATCATTCCTATATGTTCATTGGAGGTTGGGACTATTAAGTGAAATATTTGATGGTATGAATTTTTGTGAATTTTAGGAAATACATGTATGTATTATATTAAACTTAGGTGCGCCATATTCTGAATTCATTTACCATGCTTAAGCCCTTTGCCATAAGTTACCATGATAAAATGTCAGTTTAACCTTTCGCACATTGTAATGATCAATAATTTTGAAAATAAAAATATGGAAAAGATTGTACAGGTTATTTTTTGAAAGGTGAGACAAGTTGACTGACATTTAAACAATTACAAACTATTTCTATTCCTAGAACTTACTTTGCTCCCTTGAGTCGTCTCTGCATTACAGCGTAATCTCTCATGGCAACCGATGAATAAATGCCACTTCCGCCAATCAATGGCTTGTAATTCTCTTCTTTGCTCGGTGACAATTTACCTTTCAATTTTTCCTGTATGATGAATGGACATAATGGATTGTATAATACTATCATCAAATCACTATTAAAAGTGTATTAACAACGGCTTACTCAGGATTTTTAGCACGGGCTAAGAGGTCAAAAATGAAAATACAATGAAAACCATGTCATAATATTGTTCAGGAGACCTGGTCACAGGACCTTTTGTACAAAGTCTGCTTAAACAGATATAGCTCAGACCACAGTCCCTCTGTGCTCAGACTGAGAATGCGCTGAAGACTAACCATGTGAAGTTTAAAAGTGCGCTGAAGACTAACCATGTGAAGTTTAAAAGTGCGCTGAAGACTAACCATGTGAAGTTTAAAAGTGCGCTGAAGACTAACCATGTGAAGTTTAAAAGTGCGCTGAAGACTAACCATGTGAAGTTTAAAAGTGCGCTGAAGACTAACCATGTGAAGTTTAAAAGTGCGCTGAAGACGAACCATGTGAAGTTTAAAAGTGCACTGAAGACTAACCATGTGAAGTTCAAAAGTGCACTGAAGACTAACCATGTGAAGTTTAAAAGTGCGCTGAAGACTAACCATGTGAAGTTTTAAAATGAGCTTTAGTAACAAAACATGTACAAATTGAAGCTGCAAAAAAAATCTCTCAATTGATGATCAATATGCCATTGCACAAAACTTAATTTTATAACTTGGTGAGTTACATGTACCGTAAAGTCCCTATTAGAAGCTGCATCTCTAATAGAAGTCGCACCCATTCAATTCAACAATTTCACCATTTCTCATATGCTCTAATAGAAGCCATATCCCCTCTGTTACATTTTACAGTACCAGAAAGATAGAAAGTCCGCACAAGCTAACAATATCTTTAACAGTAGTTTAAACAACTACGGGTAAATATCTTATAACCTCAGTCTGTATTGAGAATGTGACAGATATCAAAACACATATTCAAATGAAAAAAAAAAAGGTTTATTCTCCCATTTCAGATCAAACACATGACTACATGTGTTAGTCCATAGTTCTAGAAAGTTCCAGGACAACCTGTGCAACCACTCGTAATCATTTGACACCTTTCAGCAATATATTTATGCAGATTTACCTATATTTAGACCAAAATAATAATTATCATTTTGTTTATGTTACAATTTTTAATTTAATCAACTCAAATAAATGTGTTTTTGTTGCAACAGTAATATCTCACAATTTTCTGGACAAATGTATGAATTGACAAAAAGAATTAAAACTCCATGTAAAGATTACCTGTCTATAAAGACCATTTAATTTTAATGAAGTCCTTTCAGTCGTCGCTATACACAGGTTTGACTGTACCTTAGGTGGTCACTATATACAGGTTTGAATGTACCTTTGGTGGTCACTATACACAGGTTTGACTGTACCTTGGGTGGTCACTATACACAGGTTTGAGTGTACCTTTGGTGGTCACTATACACAGGTTTGACTGTGCCTTGGGTGGTCACTATACACAGGTTTGAGTGTACTTTTGGTGGTTACTATACACAGGTTTGACTGTACTATGGGTGGTCACTATACACAGGTTTGACTGTACCTTTGGTGGTTACTATACACAGGTTTGAGTGTACCTTTGGAGGTCACTATACACAGGTTTAACTGTACCTTGTGTGGTCACTATACACAGGTTTGACTGTACCTTAGGTGGTCACTATACACAGGTTTGACTGTACTTTTGGTGGTCAATATACACAAGTTTGGTTTTATTAAAATTAAAAATGAGAAAATATTTGACTGTGGGAACATATGATGCACAAGTTTAGGAAATATGGTGATACGAAAATACATACCTTGGTTTTATGTTTAGCTTCAATCAACATACACGGATCAATAGGCAGACTAGATGGATGCATAATTAAGCAAATCCATGCACTAATCCATGGGCAGGCTGCTGCCAGTAAATAATCCCTGGGTGCTCGGTCCAGCAAAGTACACCATACCTGCAATGCAACATCAACAACACACTAAAATGAATTCACTAGGAATTGTTGAACTTGAAATATTAATAAAGTTGATCAAATTGGAGTGTATTCAATTTTATAGTTTTTAAATATGTAATATGGATGGGAACATGTAATTTTTTTAAAACTGTAAAATAGTTTATTTTAGTTGGAATTAATTTTCGCTGTAAAGACGTGTTTTGTATGGATTTTATTTTCACTGAATCATTCCTTCAGCAAAAATAGCGATTAATTCCAAGTGAAAATAAAGTATTTATGTGGATGATATTTGCTCACATTCAATCAGGTTCAGATAATAAAGTACATCTAAACAATACACTATTTATTCGTACAGTGTTACAACAAAAGAACTACAATGTAACAAGGATGCAATCAAAGAAATATACAATAGAATGACCTTTTGTAGGGTTGAGCAGGATTCACACCTATGGATTAAAATTGGAGTGAGACACAGTGATTGGTTTTCAATATTGATACATCAGCTTAAAATCGACCTTGCAACTGATTCCTATTGCATTTGTGCTGCCTATTGATTATTATTAAATGGCTTGTATAAATTGAATCTGTGTTTCTTTACAGTAGAGATACATGCATTACGGTATAGTTTCAGGCATGTAACAACTTTCAATTGTTGTATCTCAGCTAATATAGCTTGGAATTGTATAAAATAAGGACCAAAAGATACAGTAAAATATAGTCTAATAATATCCCTTAATTACGAATACAAAAGAATAAAACTGAATAATATTAATGAATGAGGAAACACACATGTGGATGAGCATCCACAATAATTTTACAGTATTGTAGTTTGATACTGTACGTTGTTGAATAGTCGCTAGTCTGTAGCTATAGACTGTAGTCTATATTTTTTATTTTAATTTGATTATTTATAGTTATTTTTTAAAAACTCCTCAATTAAAAGTTGACATTTTGAAATTTTGCCTGTCAAGTGACTTGTTGTGCTCAGCATTTTGCCACAGAAACCATACCCTCTGTCACAAGCTGCTGCGATTATGGTAATTCTGGTTTTAATAGTATTAAGGACATTTAATTTTAATTTAATTGCAGCGATGTAGAAATAAGCTGATAGTCAGTATTTGTTTTACAATCTACCGTATTTACTCTATTTGTAGCACATACTCTAAAATAAGTAGTACCGGTGTTCGTATGATTGACAGCATAATTTTTTTATTTACATGTGCTTTTATTGCAAATGTGCATCTAATAGAGCAAATATGGTACTTGCATATTAGTACATGTACCATATTTGTTCTATTATACGAATGCACAAACTGAAAAGACCTAGGTATGTGTCAGGTCAAGATAAATCACACTGTAATGATAAGTATACAAAAAATGTAATTTCTATTTCATGTGTGGTTTGGCTGGATGGATATATAGCAACTATGGATCATGTATGAGAAAACAAAGTGAAGAAGGCGAGAATATTAAATTTAATTTTTGAGGGACACTCTAAAATAAAACCATGAAATCAAGATAAATAGTAAATATAAGTGGAAATATTATCGTTATTTTATTATTAAAACAATCATATTATCATCAGTTTTAAAGAAACATGGGCATAAATTTTTTCTGCATACAAGTAATTTTTGTTATATCAGATAAGTACAGGGTAATCTACGTATATGACAACAGCAAGCAGAAAAAATAAATAACTTTCTATAAGCTGTCTAGAAAATGTTTATATTGTACATACTCAGACTTCATGTGTATTTATTTGGTATGACTAAAGGTCATTATTCTCACTATTACATGCATTAACAAGTTTGTCAAACAAGCCGAATATAGCATTTTCACCACAAATATTTGCTAAAGTTATCAAATTCCAGATATTATCACGAAATGTTCACATCTAATCGAGATCCAACCAAGGTACAAATATACCAAGCATTAAAGCAATTGAAGTAGAGGTTTTCAAGAAGAAGTCAAAAATATTTGCTAAAGATGCCAAATAGGAGATATCACCATGAAATAATCAAATCTAATTGTGGTCCAGTCTAGGAACATATGCTGCAAGTACAAAAACAATCAACTTAACAGTTTTCAAGTAGAAGTTGTTTGAAAAAAAGGTCAACAACAACAATCGCCTATATCAACAGTGATGAGAACAACAGCGGAGCTAAAAAAAATGTAGATCAAGTTATCCAGAAATAAGCACGGTATTATAATAAAGTAGCCATCAATGGTTGTCTTACTTTTTCCACTAATTCTAAGATATCTTCTTTATCTTCCAGTATACAGCGCTGATAAACATGTCTTAAGGCATCTTGTAATATTGGTGGTAACCATTGGCTACATGGTATCTATGGTAACATAAATTGATAAAAATTAATAAAAAATGCAACTGATCCATGTTAAAAACAATATGTTATTCATATATATTTATGTATGTTTTACTTTGGTTAATTTCCACAAAATAGTTCTGAAAGTGTGTCATAGCTGTTGTAACACCTAATGTTCAATATTGGTCTCATAAGACGTATACAATATAGAGCGATAAAAAGTTCACCTGTTGGGTTACTTATTGTAAATAAGCGAAAATAATCAGATCAAAATCTAATGTAATTTTAGTTGCTAATTCTGACCAATCAACCAACTACCTATCAAGTTAAGATCTTGTAGAAAGAACAATGAATCAGAACTTAATTTACATATAATTTTCTAGTGAGGCACGCTTCTAATTGGTTGATTAATCTTATTAGAGGGTATGTGCATTGAATTTATCATATTTGCGAGATAATTAGTGTTAAAATATATATGATAATATGGCAATATGGTCACGATCAGAAGTATGAATTCTAATTATTCATTATTTGTCTGCCACAAAAATACCTGTGAACATAAATATGAAATATCACGCTGTAAACTGTATATTGTTCACTATTAGTAAATTATTTCATTTACACAATTTTTGTTCACTACATTTTTCTACATGTATATTACACATTCAATCATGCAACTCGCTAAAATCAGTGAAAATAAACTTTATACAAAGCAGCCAAAATGTCTTGTCAGCAAAAATTTATTCCAGCTAAAATATTTGACAGTAATTCATAAAATTTTGTAAAAGTTGTTGTAGCTCACTGTTTCACTGTTGCATTATTTTGCCATTTTCCCCCTGAATTCAGGAAACTCATGCAAAATAAAGTGGTTAACGACATTTCGTAAAATTTTGTAAAAGTTGCTGTTAAACTCACTGTTACACTATTTTGCCATTTCCTCGCTGAATTCTCGAAACTCATGAAAATGAAACTCTTGCAAAATAAAGTGGTTAATGACATTTAATACCAGTAAAGAAAACACTGTCGCTTACCTGACTACCATTAATGGTAAGAAGAGTATATAAAGTTTCTAAGGCGGCTTTCCTCACTGACGATATAGTGTGTTTCAAGAACGGCCAGAGTCGCGGGACTAATTCAGCCAGAGATTGATTGGTACTGCATGGTACTTTACTGGATAATGTTGATAACAATGTCATCACTGTGTTGGTGGAAGCTGTTAAATCATCCAAGTCCAATAAAATATCCCACAACGTCTGAATTATTATGGATACCTTAAAAAAGCATCAATTTTTGGTTTTAAAAAAATCTGACCAGTTTAGAAAAATGTATACTATGTTTATGTTTAGAGAATGTATAATTTATGTAAAGAAAATCTGGAACATTAACATTATAGGTTATACATCCTGGTACTTACATCTGTACACATGACCCCCCCAAAAGGTTACACATCCTGGTACTTACATCTGTACACATGACCCCATAAAGGTCACACATCCTGGTACTTACATCTGTACACATGACCCCCCCCCCAAAAAGGTTACACATCCTGGTACTTACATCTGTACACATGACCCCATAAAGGTCACACATCCTGGTACTTACATCTGTACACATGACCCCATAAAGGTCACACATCATGGTGCTTACATCTGTACACATGACCCTTTTAAAGGTTACACATCCTGGCCTCACTCACCTGGTATGGTGATATTTTACTCAGTGTTTCTGCGACTGGGATAAGTGCCGCTGCAGACACTGCCCTCACATCGTCGTCAAAGTCAAGTAAACCTTGGATTATAGATGACAAAACACATGGTAGAAGCTCAGACGTCATTTCCTAAAAAAACAAAAACAAATCAACGTTAATGTCACAGTCCTGGTTGTGATTAGGGGAAATGTTAATCATGCCTAAGATAAAGTAATATGGCCAAAATACAAGATGGCTGCCAAACTTTTGTCTTTTATCTGATCACAAGTTGAATTGTCATGAATATGTTTTGCAACTTACATAATATATGCAATCAAATTGGATATCACTGGTCATGTGACCAGGTAAATTCTTTGTTAATGAATTTGTTATGGTCAGTAATTGAGAGTGAATAATAGACTCATCTAGTATCAACAAAAATCAGATTTATTAAATAATTTTTATGACTTCTAAATTTGCAATCTAATATATGGTCACAATATTAAACTTAATATTTCTATTTGCTATTTCTCTTATTCATGCAATCCTTGTATCCACTAAAATGCATGTTTCCAATATTGTAAGAGTGTTTGTTATGGTGTTACCCAATGTTTTTCATAGTGGGAAATTAAGTCACCTTACAATTTTAATGAGAATGTATTCAATGTCTTTTTGAGAATATACAACTTGGAGTGTTAGTTGAAGTTTACTTTCATGCATAGTTGTAATCTACTGTACAACATAATATGCATCTCAGGAGGAAATCAAGCCATGAATTCATTTGCAGCTAGACTCACACATGATCTATTAATTTTTTTTTACATCTATTAATTTTTTTATTCTTTTGATTTTTTGACTATGAAAATTTAATATAACCTTTAGAAGATATTCCTACAAATAAACATGGGCGTGTATTATGATGTATGTGACAAAAATATGATAATTAATACAATAACGACTGTAGATTGAATGCAAAATAAATCATCACTGACATAAATCTCAACATGTGTAATGTACCAAATTTAAATGAAAACGAACATTTGCAACATTTGAAACAAATTAACATAAACATGTATTTTAAAATATATGATGTATGTGCCAAATATGAATAAAAATGGTACATAAGTTGTCGTAATATAATAGTACATTTATGGCCAAAAAACAAGATGGCTGCCAGTTGGCTATCATTGATACAATCGCGAAACAAATTGTAAATTTGTAAATGTAGGTCCAAGATACCACATTTACAAAAAATCAAACGGCTGTCAGTCAGCCATCTGGTTTGAATGACTAAACTACTGCATGTGCATTGTCCCACATAAAGTACTAGGCATATGCAAAAAATAAACGGATTTGGTACAAAAGGTTCTGAAATATGACTCCAGATGGACGAACATAGACATAATTATAAGCCCCCGTTTCAAACTTATTTTGAACGGGGACTAATAAAAAGAATACACATGCTAATGTAAACAACACCTAGACAATTGGGAGATTTTTTGTTTATACCCAAAACTTTTTTTTCAAACTATTTTATGCAGTTATATCATAAATATGTCACACATATTACCCTGCAAAAAAATTGGCAAAGGTCGAAGGTCAACTTTAGTCACCATTCACAAAATTAAATTTTGATCGATACCTATAACTCATTAAAAATTATATCCATTTTATTTTGATCCAAAAGTTCTTAGAAATTATAGTAAAATACATAAAAATAGGTGAAAAGTTGCACTAAAATAGTGAGGTATGAAAATCATCACGCTCAAAGAATTAATCCCCTCAAAATATAGTCCTTGTATATACAAATATGTCTGACCTATATAAACACACTGAAAATATAGTGCCACAAAATAGTAGATCAAATAAGAGATTAAAGATAATCCATATTATTTCTGTAAATCCTCGTATTTATTTTAAATGAAAGAGACAATATGGTGTTGCCAAGCTGTCATATTTTGACTATTACTGAACCTGCGAGCGTCTGACTGTTTAGAAACATGCTCCATCATGAGTCAAGTGGATTAGTTTTTTTTTTCATCTTTTCACGAGCAGACTTTCTCACCCAAATTATTCTAGACTTTTTCTTATATTCTTCAATATTTATGGAAATGAACCCTGATTTTAGAGTCAACAGACAAAACGTGAGTCAATTTTCACCCAAATTATTTCGTTATTTTTGTCCCAATCTTCAGAAGAAAAGTGCAGACTAAAATTTTTTGAATTTGTGATGAAAAGAGGTGGTGAAAAGGTTAACCCCCAGTGAGTGCTATAAAAGTAAATTTTTGCCACGTTTTCCGAATCAAAGCAGCACAAGTTTTTCAATTTTTTTTTAATGTCAACCAGGACTTGACAGCCAATAGTATTTATGTCCATTAGATTAAAAATTAAGAAATTGTAAAAAAAAATATAAAATAAAAAATTAAGTAGAAACAAAGGATTAATGCAGTAAAAAAATAAAATCAGGGTGTATGTAGTTTGCTCAAATTAAAATGATTGATCATTTGCTTTGATTTTTACAAATTTCGTTTTATGTATGACATATTTAATATGCAAAGAATGTTACAAACAGTCTGTTCGGGTACCGTGGAAGAAAAAACATTCACTGTGTTTATTTAGTAGATTTGATGCAGGGATATTCACTAGGTTTAAATTTACTTGTTTATAAAGGAAACAATAAATTCTATTGTTAAATTTGAATATTTACTGTGTTTAAGCCCTATACAGACAATATGTGGTTAGAGGCATAAAAGAAAAAAAAGAAATAAGTTTCATTCCTGTGTATCTGTTTATAACCACTAATTAGTATGCAAAATAACTAATTAATGTAAACACATAGATAATATTATTAGAAAGTATTTTAATGAGAAGATGCAGTTGAGTCAAAGCATAATATATAAGATAGAATGTGATACGCCAACAAACAAGCTGCTCTCTGATTGGTCAGAATGTTAGATGTTAGGGTTGGGCAGCCAATCAGACACAGTATTGTATAAAGTAACACTGACTCAGAAGATTTGGAAGTTCAGATATCAAAAGAATTTTCACCTTCCTAACAGCAAGTAAGTACTTGATTCCCAGCAGACCACCATGCCTGACTTCCCACTGGTGCTGAGATAGTAACTGTAGTAAGATACCCAATACGTGGTTAACGCTATCTACTTTCATATAGTGTAGTAGCACACCCAGTGTTTGAGCACATGTCTCGCGTACTGGCGCAACGACCTAGAAAAATCACAAAGATAATCATATTTCACCAGTTACAGCTGTTCTGAGAATTATTTGGACAGTCAGTTAGCAATATATCTTGGAACTTTGCAAAACACTTGGGTCTTTTCCAATCTAGACTTGATGGCGCCATTGTATTGGCATGCCCACAGTTGGGATCATTCTATTATCTTGCTAGATGCGGGTAAACCGCTGTTTTCAAAACGACACGCATTGGTTACCATACATTAACAGGTTGTATGTGCATTCAAAGTGTTATTTTAAATTGTTATAACCATCTGAGTCCACCAGAGCGCAATTTACAAAACAACTCCCGAGTGTTCAGTAACCACAGGTATGAATGAACTCGTCGTTGGCGGGAAGGCTCAAAGTAGAGTTCCTTAGCATTGGACGCGCTGCAGTTTCGCGACAGTTTTGAGCCAAATTAAAAGTTGTTTTTACATTACTGGTACATTATGTATCAAATTCAGATTTTATACAAAGGTAGGAGAGTACATCAGGGATACATGGACGGAAAACTTGATTATAGCGGTTTGTCAAATCAAAAGTGCTTTCCTTGAGCGAATCACTTTTTCAACTGCATTTTGAAAATGACGAGGGTATGACGACCGTTATTATGTCTAGTCTATTTTTGTAACAGGGACAATTGACTAAAATGAGCAAGGAGTTGACATTTTTCGACAAATTTAAGCAACACCCAACTTTCGATTTTTAAAATTACTGAAAATAATTACAATATAAATATAAAAAATAAAGAATGGTTGCTGTATATGCACGCTAGATAATACTTGCAATTCACCATGCCGACAACCCCTATAAAATAGTAATCCCAAACCATGCGCCCGTCACTCAAGTGGCGCCGACAAGTCTAGATTGGGCAAAGACCGAAGTGTTTTGCAAAGTTGCAAGTCATTTTGCTAACTGACTGTCCGACTAATTCTGAATAATAACACAAGTTCACATAGTATTAGTATTATTTCATGAGAAGCAAATTTTTGTGAATATCGCAAGCCAAGAAAATTTCATTTTTTAAGACAGTTTAAACAAACTTCAAAGTTTGCTCTATCGAGAATGTTTCAGCACATATATGCAATGCATTATGGGACCAGGATTATTGTATATATGGAAAAATTTTATCAACCTGGAAATGTATTATAAAACAAGCAGCCTATCGGCTGAGATAGCTCCGCTGTTAGAAATGCACATTTCAATTAAAGAACTGAAGACATCATCAGAAAATGAACAATATGTATAGTATCAAAGCAGTCGGACTTACAGTTTTTAACAAGAAGTCGAAAATATCACTTTCTACCAAAAATGACCAAAATATTCACCAAAATTAGAGAATTGAAGATATCATCACGAAATGAACAAATCTGAGAAAGGTCTACATGTAGTATCTATATATGTAATATCAAAGCAATTGAACTTTTGGTTTTTAACAAGAAGTCGAAAATATCACTTTTTACCAAATATGACAAAAATATTCACCAAAATTATAGAATCCAAGATATCATCACGAAATGAACAAATCTGAGAAAGGTCTACATGTAGTATCTAAATATGTAATATCAAAGCAATTGAACTATTGGTTTTTAACAAGAAGTCGAAAATATCACTTTTTACCAAAAATTACAAAAATATTCACGAAAATTAGAGAATTGAAGACATCATCACAAAATGAACAAATCTGAGAGAGGTCCACATGTAGTACCTATATATGTAATATCAAAGCAATTGCACTTGCGGTTTTTAACAAGAAGTTGAAAATATCACTTTTTACCAAAAATGACAATTTTTTTTTATTATTTAAAATATTCACCAAAATTAGAGAATTGAAGATATCAACATGAAATGAACAAACCTAAGAGAGGTCTACCCAAGGTATACACCAAGTATCAAAGCATTCAGGCTTGTAGTTTTCAAGAAGAAGTCGAAAAAGTAAAACATTGACACGGACGACGACGACGACGGACAATCACTCATATGATAAGCTCCGCTCGACAAAGTCGACAGCGGAGCTAAATATGACTTATTTTGATGGAGACACAACCACTGTCATTTACATTATGCATGTACTACAAATGAAGCAAAAACATCTGCCGTAGCAGCTACTTACCTCATCAGAAACAAAATCTCCAAACCTGTCCAATGCCATCACACAGAGTAACCGAAATGCCATGTCTTCTAACCATAACTGATTCAAGGAGTCTTGCTGTAAAGAAAATTTAACGGTAATTTTTGATTAATATCGCAAAGAGTTGACCACAGATAATATTGTAGTGATGTTGAAAGGTTCTATGGGGAAAAGCACAATGCGAGAAATACATGAAATTTTAATGCACAATTTGAACGGCACACATTATATTGAATGCAAAACATTTTCTATAATTTCATTTCATTTTGGAGTGAAAATTAAAAAACAGTAAGAATGTCATATTGATGAAAAATATTGCAAAAAAATATGTAAAAACAAAATTAGGTGA